GCAGAAGCAGCATTATCCCCTGTAAACAACCATCCCGAAACTATTATTGGTCATATTTTCATCTCTCCGGCTATTTTCTTCAGACAGAAAAAAACATTCCAAGCGAAGCGATGAGGAACAAACGCTTGAAAAACTGAAAATTTATAGTTTTTCTTTTTGCTACGGTCACGACTGTTCTACACAAACTGGTCCGTGTATGGAAAGCAACTTGAGAATTTTAATCCGCCGGCGCAACCCCTTTTCTTGCTGTCAGTGCGTATATGTTGTGTGTGTGTGTGTGTGTGTGCGTGTGTGTATGAGTGTGTGCATATATATACATATATATATCCAAATGTTTATTTATTTATGTACGTGCGTGCGTATAGGTGCCTGTTCGGATCAAATTCATGTCATTTTTGCCATATTTTTAATCAAATTAAAATCAGTTCATCTTAAAAGTAGCGTTGACAGACACTCGAAATCGCTTTTCAAATAACACTTGAAGAATAGGTACCTGAAAATCTTTCTCCGCCTGCAAATTTTTCGACCACATCCGTAGAAAAGCTGCACATACATAACCATGAAACTGCGAAAAGCCATTTCTTTCGCTCTGAAACTGCTGGCATAGAGGTAAAAATTTCGAGATTCACAGGGCTTCCGTCATGCACATTTTTCACATCGTTCGTTAATGTTTTCACATCAACCATCTTTAAGGTGTACTTTGGCGCTGTCAATGAAGCCGAAGCCTCCCGCATCACTACTATGACCAAAGCTATGCTCAGCTCACGGTGATTCTGGCGTTTGTTTCCTTGTTTTCTCCTTTCACCCCTCCAGATAGTATCATATTCCATCCACTGTTCATGTGGTCCTGCTTATCTAACGAAGATTAGATTTTTGTGCATCGGGACTTACAACTCTGTCAGTGATAGTGCTATACTACTGAAAATACTGTTGAGAGTAAGGAGAGTGGGTGCATCGCAATTCTGGGATCCATGTTATAAAAAATTATAAATAGCAGCACGCACCAGGGTAGCCATTGTGATCACGCGTTTTATGCAGCCCCTTCTCCGGATGTTTGCAGTTAGGATTTTCACTTTTTATGCGTTTTGTGCTGTGTAACAGCAGTACGAAACGCAT